GCCCGATTGCCCAAGTAATATACCATCCGAAACACAGCTCGACTCTTCAGTCGAGAGAGTAGCTCTGCTGTAACTGAGCTAGGAATATTTTCGTAAAATAAGAGGAAGGATGCTCGCTAAGTATCCCAGACACTGGTTTGAGGTGTCGAGCTCACAGAACTAACCCGACCTAGAGGTACCGGCCACTAAGAGCCCGATAAAGTAGCCAACCTTGATGTACATCGACGTCGGGTGGCCTGGGGGTCAAGTTAGACTTAAAGGTGAGGTCGATTCGACCTGATGACAAGGTCAACGACGTCTAAGGCCATAGAAGACAGGATGAAAGGTCGGGTTCACAACCTATGTATGTTCGGGCTAAAACAGTAGTAGGGGGAAAAATCTAAGTAAGAAAGAAAGGATAATTCACCAAAGGACTTTTACCATGATAGAGACATGGTACGTAGGGAAGTAGAATCCCAATGGATCTCTTCCTTAACAAGAGCTCTCTTCGGTTTGAAGGTTCCAAATTCCTATATATGGACAACAGATTTATTCAAATTACACAACACACAATTTCACGATTATCTTACATTTTCTGTATTCTGACTTGAGCGTCGGAGAGTTTTTTGCTGGGACCCCCTCCCAACGTATTCCAGGTTATCAGGAGATTGGGGAAGAGACTCATTCAAGGTGAAAGATACGCACACGATCGTGACTGAAATGTGACGTATCATCGAGGTTAATCCTTATCTGCTTTGTGTTCATCCTTATCTTAATTATATTCATCATTATCCTGATTATATTCATTCTTATCTTGATTATGTTCACAGTTGTTCATGTCCTATTATACACATGTCCCTTCTTATTTAGGTTGACTTGTTGAGTGCTAGTAGGTCTCAAGTACGTCGATCAGATTCACCCTAAACTATTTTCCCTCGTCTCAAGTCAAATGGGTCGATTTCAGTGACACCGAACTGAGTTAGTTAGCTAGCCTAGCTATCATCTATCTCCAACTTACCTAATCCAGATCAATCCTAATTATTTATGTCGTAGCACCGATTTAGCCGACTATACAATTTAATTCCAATCTCTCCTGGTCACATAGGTCCTTTTAAGTATTACCAAGCTGAGCATCTCGCCCAGCTTCACACCTCTTGGTGTGGTTCAGACGACCTGAAGTACCTCTGAGCTGTTTGACCAATTTTATGTCGAGGTAATATTGATTCCGGTTCAGCCGAGCTATTGCTATATAATCCACTAAAGTCATTCAGTTGTTTTTAAGAATTCGGATTGAATACAATACCTAGATGTCACTTAATCACGTGTATAAATTTATATATAGTTTACTAAATGATGTCATTCTTTAGATGGACATATATCTAAAATAAGTAGTCATAATTACTAAGTAATATTTTACATGCCCACAAAATAAAATCTAATGGAATATATGATATGAAATTTTGAATCATAGATCAAATTGTGTCACTCATCACGTAATTTTGGTAAGATTTTCCTGCTTATAAATATGAGTCATTTATAACTAATTGTAAAATTAATTAATTGTTTTGGTAGGTCTTGTTTCTTAAACTTATAAATATGAGTCATCTTTAAGCAAATTGAAATATAAAACTGGAAAAAAAAAATACGTAGAATAAATTAGGATTCAATTTTCAGAAGATTAGGGAAATTTAATCGTAATCTCTTTGGCTTCTCTAAGCCGATTGTGGAGTAGCCTTATTATCCTAGTTGATTGGATTTCCTTCATCTAATGTAGAATGGATGTTTGGTTATAAAATATTTTGATTTTGTTTGGATTTTTTTATTTGGTATAGTGAATTTTGAAAAACGTGTTATGATTAGTTAGTGAGATTTTGAATTTATATTAAAATAATATTTAAAATAAAATAATTAAAGTAGATTTAATATAAAAGTAGGAAACATATGATATAATGTGATGGTTAGTTAAAACTATGTGAGCGGATAAATAGTGAATTAAAAGTTGATGTAATGTTTAATGATGATTGAGTGGTATTATTTGATTATATTGAAAATATTGAGGTTGAGTTAGATTTGAATTAAAATGAATGATTGGTTAAAAATGATTGAATGCTGTAGATAAGTTTGTATCCAAACATGCTCGGGGCGACATTAAGGAGGACAAAAAGATAAGAGAAATTCAAATAATCTCTTTATTTATTTTTTGCATGTATGCTTTACTCGTTATCTATTAAATTTTGTTTTAGAAAAAAAAAAAGTTGACAATTCAATTAAATAGTTCCAAGTTTTAAATCCTAGTGCGCATCTCTTACGATGCACGTACAGACATGTTACTTAAAATATTTTTTGAAATTTTATTTTGAATGTTATTATTTATATTTAACATCTCTTTATTGCAATATAAGAAATACAAAATAAGAAAAATTATATAATATTTATGTTAATATAATGTGTGTCCCCAACCAAACCAATAACATACAACACATGATTATATGAATCATCGTGCTTTTTAATATGTATATATATATATTTAATAAATATGCGATATTTAAGATTCTCATTAGATAAAAAAATGGTTGTGTACAAAATAATAGGTACCAAGAATCTACATAATATGAAATTCTGTTTAAACTTTAAAATATTTTGTACTTAGATAAATATGTGCAAAAAAATCATCAATTAAGTTGAACAATCCAAAATATAAAAATTAATTTCCAAAATTGACATTCTTTATTAAATAAAAAGGAATTATTAGTTGTGACCATAAAATATGATTTTGTAGATAGATAAACATGGATAAGATGAAATTTAACAATTAAGTTGGCATGACTTTTCGGAAAAATTTTAAAAAATTCCAAAAGTTTTATTCGTTAATTGATTAACCTGATTTTTGTAACTAAATTTACACGTTTGACCGAAAAAAAATTAAGAAAATGATTGATCGGATATTTGGGAAGCAAGATTTTCAAAACTTTTTTTTTTTCATAATTGACTAGATTTACCCATAGAATTTAAGGAAATTATTGTCCATATTTTTAAGAAGTAAGGTTTACTCAATATCTTTCTCAAATAACAACTTTTTTTTAAAATTTAAATTCGAATTCTCATTCAGCCGCCATTTAAAAAAAAAAAAAATAAGAATAGTAACTTTGAAAATTTTAAGTGGGAATTTCAATACTAAATCTCTATATCTATTATACAATAATAGATAGATATCAGTTTCTTTACTTACATATTCACTTACAATACTTTAACTATTTTTTTTAATTAATTTATTTTGTTTATATAATTTAATAAACAAACAAAGTATGATCTAATTCTTGTTTCATGCACAATTGCACATAAATAAAAAATCAAAAGACAGAAGAAGAGTTGTGAAGGAGAGGTACTATCCAGATTCTTCTATTTTTCATGCCTCTAAAACTTAGAATGGATTTTGGCTTTGGAATTGCTGGTTGAATGTTCTTCCTCTCTTCACCAGATGGTTAAAGATTGAAGTCAGAGATGGTGTTAATACTAGAATTGATGATTTGAACTGGATTCCCAATCTTTCTTAGGCAAAACCTGTTATGCTTGAGATTGCCAAAGATCATCTTATCTTTGTGAAAGACTTAATGCTCCCCTCTGGTATTGAATGAAATGATTGGCTTGTAAAACAAGTGTTTG